CTATGGGAACCTTTTCATGCTAAATAACGCCTCCGTTTCACCTTTTTTTCAATCAAAAGATACAGATTCAAGATATTTTGTTTTGTTGTCCCACTTTAAAAAAAATATTTATTTCAAACTGGTATTGGTTTTCTGTGTTAATTCTGCATTTATAGAACTGAATTTAAGCCGTATCAGATCTATCTCTTCTCAAAGGTAAGAATCCACTTTCCAAAAGCTGCAGAGCCAACATAGACTTTAGCTTGAACCAAAATAAATCATGTTTCTTTCTATAGGAATAAGCAATTGTTAAAAGAAAAGTCTTCATCATAGTTCAGTCCAAGTCGGGGATAAACAACATGGGGACTGCTTTAGAAAGAAGGTTGCAGTTTATTGAAGAGGAGAGCCAGACAGGAAGATGATTCTGGCAGGAAAGAGAGGAAAAAAAGGGGCTGAGCACATGTAGGGAGTGGGTTTTTATACCCTCTGGAGCCTTTTGTTTGGAGTTGCTTCCTGTTCCTGTTTTGAGGCTTTGTATTTCCTGTGTCATGTATTTTGACCTGTGTCTGTGTGTGCCCTTTGGCATCTGTGGGTTAATCCTATTATGTCCTGTCTTAGACTTTGGGTGGAGTATGTAGATTTTAGGTTTCTTTGTCTTCTTAATCTTCTAGCTGGGGCTTCCAACCTTCCTGGATGGTTTACATCTGCATTTGTACAGAGCTAGTTTCTGCTTGGGGGAAGGAGACCTGGGGCTATTAAGAAAACTGGGCATGCTTTTCTGCCTCTTTAAGATCCTTTGAGGAAATATATTTTCCTGCCCTTTTAATATTTCCTTCTCTGGGGAACTGACTTCCCATACTATAATAGGTTTTTGGTGCACAGTTCTATTCCTTTTCTTGGGTCTTTACCATCTGCCAATAGTACAAGCTGCTTTTTACTTTCTAGCTAGTGAAGAGAATATACATCACAGTCCGCATTTCACATTAAACAGATTTGTTTAAAGTTAGAAGCAAAACTTTCCGATTTTGTGAAAAAGGAAAGACGTTGCTCACAAAGCTTTTTGGTGATACTTAATATATCAGCTTTGGAAAAGCTCCTAAAATGGAATAAATATTAGTGGTCAAAAGAGGTGTGCAGTTTTTGCTTTTTGATTAAATGAAGGGAGTCATTGTGTGGGGAGAGGCCTATCAGGTGTATTGGAAGCTTTTCCTGATGTCAGCAACATATGATAACTTGGATTCTTCTCTGCTCCTGGCAGAGTTGCTGTTGTGCATGTTTCCAAGCAGACGGCGTCTCTCTTGGCTGGGGGAAATGAAAATGTCTGACGACTTTGAAGTCTGTTTCCTAGGTTTCCCTATCCCTTTGTAGAATCAACAGTTTTTATATTTCTCATTTGAGCTATTCTATGTAAGCTGCAGTTTTTAAACAGAAGCTTCAGTGTTGGCATCTTTTGCATTTCGCACCTAACAGATAAATATCGTATGTTGAAGAAAGAGACTTTTTGGCAAGCAGAAAACTCTACATTTGTTTTCCAGTATATATGTGGTAGATGTTAAGCAATATTGTCCCTGTGCTGTTGGTTGTATACTCAAGATGGTTGGGAGAAATGCTCTTGCATTGTTGAGTTCTTATTTAATGGGTTTCAAACAGCTAAGAGCAAGGCAAAAGTAATATCACAAAATAACAAATAATTATTAAAAGGGAAAAAGGAATGTTGGAATCCATGAGTAAGTATGACTAATGCACTTGCCTCCGCCCAGAAGCTGAAAAACAGTGGACCATCTAGTTAATTGCTACAAGAAGTTCACACAGACTGATGGCAAACAACGGCAAACAAAGTAGCAACAAAGATGCTTTGGAATATCTGCAAGAAATACCACTTGCCTGCATGCAAAAATTGGTGAAACCACAAAGTAATTGAAAATGGAGAAGCTTCATTTGGGACTTTACAGTTCAGACAAATATCTGCCACCTAACACTGCAGAATTAACAATTGTTGATAAGAAAAATAAAAAAAGTCTGGATGTGGATGTGGCAGTACCTAATGAAAGCAGAATAGAAGAGGGTGAACTGGAGAGAATTACAAAATACAAAGACCTGCAAGCAGAAATGGAACAACTAAGGCAAAAGAAAACAAAAATAGTGCCACTAGTGATGAATGCTTTGGGTGCAATCCCACAATATTTGGAGCACACTTGAATGCCATTAACATTGACAAAATCACCATCAGTCAATTGCAAAAGGCAGCTTTACTAGGAATTCCTTATATTCCTTATATACATTTAATATCATCAAACAAGAACATTTGCCTGTCTTGGATTCTTTGCAAGGGCTTGATAGGTAGACAAAAATGCCAAATCCAGTCTAAACATCTGGCTGACTTGCCACTACCAATATTAATTGCAATAGCAGTTTCATAAACCCTATCTCTCTCTCTGATGGTTTCTTCTACCTTGTCAGAGATCAGATAGGCATTTGCTGTATGAAGAATGTTCTTTTTCTCTCTCTAAAAGCAGCTCCTTATCACGGAATATATTTGCTAGTTTGATGAAAGATACTGGACAACTAATAAATGCCAGTCATTAATCTTTTAATTTTTAAGTGTGTACTGCTTGGATATATTTCAGCCTCAGGTGAGCAATGCTTGTAAGTCATAGTTTTAAAATGATTGTTTTATTTTAAAAGAATGATTTTGAAAAATACGAGTATCTGGATAGTCAAAAATAGAGGTTGACTATATAGATATCAAGCTGCAGAAATTACTGCTATTTTCAGAGGTGAACAATTCTCCAATGAGCATGGAAACATTATATAAATAAAAATGTAAATGTTTGTTTGTTCAAAATCTTAAATCTCTGAAAGTTCTTCATCGATTGCTTTGAAATTTTGACACAACGTTGCATTTGAATATGCACATGTTTTTATATACCTAATTTATATAGATTATATAGATGTCACACCTGTGACAGGTAAAAACATGCTTTTTTTGAAAAACAGCGCCATCTGTTGGACGTAAAAGCAACACACGCTACGATTTTACGATTCCATTTCAATGTTTCCGATTTACGATCCATTTACGATTTCCAAATTTCCAATTCTTTCTTTTCCATTTAACCAGACTGAGCCACAGCAACGCGTGGCCGGGTACAGCTAGTAGATTTATATTTATTGATTACCTTTTTGTAAACTGCATTACAATGAGGTTAAAATAAGTGAACACTTCAATTTTTAAAAACCAGATCCAGCTGTTCTAGAAATGTTTGTCCTGCATATGCACAGAATCATGTAGATCCCCTTTACTGTAATGTTGTTAATTCCATGGCAATCCTACTAACAGTCAGATAATTGAGGCTAGTTTACCATTTCCATGGGTAGGGTTTCTTAAATTGTAAAAGCTTTCATTCCTTTCTGTTAACTAAGGTTAATTGTCCAAAATATCCGCTGCATGCTCTTTGCTATTAATCCATATATCTATGTAAGATAATTTTTGTTAATTCTGAACAACTACTTGGTCTAGATTTAGGTACACTTATACATTTTGTGAAAGTTTGGTGTGTTTTTCTCTCCAGATATTTAACTAAGTTTAGTAAAATGTGTTTAGATTTGTTTAAAGCCTAAATGGGATATGCTCCAATTATAATTTAAATGTTTGGGGTGTACTATTAGATCTTAAAAAGCTGTGAGAAACATTTGTGTATATGTGTAACATAGCTTAGAGAATACAATCTCTCTGATACAAATCATGTTCTCACTTTCTCAGGTTCCTTTAAGATATGTGAAGTAGTGGGGATAGATGCTTCATAGTAAAAGCATTTGTTGATAGGGTCCAGTATTTAGTAAAGAATCCAGGGTGGAATACAGCTTTTACCAAAGCTACATAATAAAGCTTTTTAATATTTTTCCTAAAAGCAAATAGTAAGCACTTTTAGTCAAGCTAAACATTTAGCTTTTAGTAAAGCAAAATACCAGATCATGTCAAGAGAGATGCCAAATAGGACATGTGATTATTATACACTGAAATGAAATTACCCAAATCTTGTTCACACATCCTAGAGGGAAATCAACCCTGACTGTGCTTCGGAAGGACAGATACTAAAGCTGAAGCTCAAATATTTTAGCCACCAAATGAGTAGAGAGGGCTCATTGGAAAAGACCCTGATAATGTTGAGAAAGATTGAAGGCGAAAGGAGAAGGGGACAGCAGAGAATGAGAGGGTTAGTTAATGTCATAGACACAGTGAGTATGAGTTTTGGCAGACTCAGGGAGACAGTGAGGGATGGAGGGGGCTGGTGTGCTGTGGTCCATGGGGTTGCAAAGAGTTGGACAAGACTTAGTGACTGAACAACAAACCTTCACACACTGTCTGGACTTTGCCTTTTATTTGTGTGCTCTATTTTAGCCTTTGAATAGACATAAACAACTTTGAATACTTTGCATGGATATTAGGTAGAATACATCTGTTCTTTCTCCTGAGATGACAGAATGCCTGCAAAAATGTCACAAAGTACCCCATAGGTACTCCCTATTAGAAAATGGTTCCTCACCAAGATGGGGCAATAATCCTTCAGACATCAGGTTTACAATGAAATAAAGTTCTGGTTTTGGCCCTGGAGCTATACTTGGTCCTGTATAATGTATACTGTTAATTATACTTATTAATTATAATTATTTTTTAAAAAATATTCCATTTGCTGGGTTGGGCTGCCTATTAAGGTCTATCTCTCATTTGGTTGATCATTGAGATCTTTTAAGCAGTAACTGAGAAGGGACATTTGCAAACATAGAGATTTTAGAGGTTGACTTTACATCGTACAAACGAAATATCAAACAGGACTTAAAGACTTAAAGTCATATACAATTTCTAACATATCATAATATAAGATGTATTATAGGTCTGAGGACATACTGGTATATACAGGTCGTATAATATTTTTGACGACCATAAGGGTGGATTGGGTAAACTACAAGGGCAACCCTTTTCGATTCGTCTTAATTAAGGTTTACAGATTTTTGATTTATAGATATGGTAGCCAATGCGTCAGGCCCTTTGCTAGTGGAAATTGCAAAGGCTCCGGGCTCTGCCCTGGGAATCACATTATCAGTGAACACCCATCGGAATAAGCAAGTCATAATCATTGAGAGGATCAAGCCAGCTAGTGTGGGAGACAGGTAGGAGGCTGAACTGTGATTATGTTCTCCCAGATATGTTTGGTTTAATATTTATTTCTGTTTGAAATTTTTTTCCTCTGGTGAGGTCTGGGGAAGCTTGAAAAAAGCAGCACTGTATAAGTGCTACTCTGCACAAACTACATTTCATACATAAGGGAAAAACTTTATTTGTGTATTTGATTTCTACCCTATCTATATTTTTTGTCAACTCAAGGTGATGTGCATAGCTCCTGTCTCCAATTTTCCCATCAACAACAACCTGTGAAGTGGGTTGGGCTGAGAGAGAGTGACTGGCCCAAAGCCTCCCAGCTGGCTTTCATGCCTATATCGGTGAAAACCTTAGAATTATAATGCAGGGCTTTAAGGAACTGAGTTTATCTTGGGCACATCTGAGGGAAGGTTGTCCCTTCCATGCCAAATACTTCCCTTTCCAGTTCATCCAGAAAAATGGCAGCACTCAAAACCAACCTCTGGTATATATTTCAGACTATTTCAAGAGTGGAAACCATCTTTATAAGTATTGTGAAACATCTAAAAAAAGAAAAGCCCTAATATTATTGGGAACAGAATATATCTGCTGTTCAATGTTAACTAAAGTTTGTTTATCAGAAATAAATTAACCCTGTTAAACTTGCAATATGATGTTGACCTTTTAATATGAACCCTTACAGATTAATTAGTTCTCCAAAATCTTATCTATTGCATCGAAAGGTAACTGCACACTACTCCCTTTTATGGCAAGACATGTAACTGCAAAAAAAACCCCAAAACGAAATATAAAACCAATTAAACTGAAGGAATTATATAAGTCAATACAAATTTTGCTAAATCTAATTTTACATTTCACTGTTCCTGTTCCTCCCTTTCTAGCCTTGCAAATCATTCTTGTTTTCAGTGTGTTATACAGGGCTTTATGTGTTGCTCTTTATTCTTTAAACTATTGTTTTTATTTTTCTCAGGATGTCATCTACTTCATTCAACCACAGGCTTCCTCTGTCTTTCTCTTCCTTTTGACCTATTCATTATTTCATAAATGTATTTCACAATTTAGTTGTCATTCATTCTTTCTATGTAATTAAACCATCATGATATACTTGTTTTGTATTTACCACTCCTTTTGTACTCAATTCAGGTTCATTTCTCGACCTTCAATTTTTGACCTTATCTTTTGTTAAACATGCATCTTAAATGAATCTTTCTGTCCGCATTTAATGGGTAGAGGCATACTCCTATATTTAAAGCCATTTTTTTCATCTTTCAACAAGGATTCTCTCTCTGTAACAAGCCTGCTATTCATTGCTTTTCTACCAACATTTTCTGTTCTTTCTCTATCCATTTTCCCTTCAGCTTCAACTTCCTCCTAAAGTATCAGATCCAGCCCTTTGCTTTTTTTGTTATTTGTATGCAATTTGCAGTCATTCACTCAGTTTTCCCTTTCAGGCAACTACTTTTATATTTGAAATGCTCAGATCCATATTCCTTATTGTATCATACAATCTCTGACATTCACTATAAGAGTTCTCATGTTCTCAGGCAACCATATGTCATTATCTGTATACAAATTTACATTAGTAATTAACTAATAGCTGAAATGTCTCTATGAGCATTCCTTATACTATGATAAATACACTAAGGGGAATTGATTCCTTAGTGCAGTGGTGGCGAACCTCTGGCACGCGTGCACATGTGGTCTCTAAAAGTTCGCCATCACTGGCCTAAGGCCAGCCAGCCTGGAGCCGCCATTGGGGAGCCCACCATCCCATCCGCCAGAGACCCCCTGGATCTCCCCCAACCCTGCCTGGCTCCCACAGGTGTCCCTCCCCATAAGCAACATCAAGGTGGCCACGCCCACCCTGGCCATGCCCATCCAATCTGCCATGGCTACAGCAGCCACACCCATCCAGTGGCCACGCCCACCCAGTCTGCCAAGCCCACTGTAGCTGTGCTCGCCAAGTGGGCGACACCCACTCGGCACCCGGCGATACATAAGTGGGTTTTGGGTTGCAGTTTGGGCACTTGGTCTCTAAAAGGTTTGCCATCACTGCCTTAGTGTGTTTCTGTGAACTGACATCCTTGTTTTATTAAGTCCTTTTGCACAATTTATATCATGCACACCTCTTATTGCATTCAGCAGTCAAGTAACATTCAATACAGGTTACTCCATCAGCCAAATATTCCATAATAATTTTATGTCATATTCCATATTTTTATAATCAACAAATAAATAAATGTCTTTTTTCGCATTCATAACATCCCACAGTGACTTTGCCGAAGAGCAAAACTGTGATCTGCACAGCACCTGCTTGGCAATGCCGCGCTACTTTTCTGAAATTGTATTCACTGTCATCTTTCAACTAGAGTTTAGCCAAACACCTTAACAGGCACACTTAATAAACTGATTTTCCTGTAATTTTATATCGGCTGTTGCTACTTTTCCCTTTGTATAGGGGAGCATATATGGTACCACATTCTTCCAAATGTCATGCACAAATATAGTCTTCACAAACAAGTTAAACTCTTTTATTAAAAACAATGGTAAATGGCAAAGAACAAAACGAAATCAGGGCAAGCCCGGAGTAATTTTTTTTTAATTTAAAAGGTCCCCTTTGTTTCTTGCGTATTTCTATGTAAAGTAAACTGGCATACTTTTATAAGGGAAATTAAAAATCCCTTCCCAATAGACATCAAGTCAATTGGACTGAAAGAAAGTACTATTTTAGAGACAAGAGAGTACCGAAAAAAGTTGACCCTTTGAAGTTTCGACCTAAAAACGGAAAAAAATTTTACTCCAAAGTCGATTTAGACCCGTTTCTTGTAGGCAAACAATATGTATGATGCAAAGTCATCAACTTTTGTGTGACTTTGATGGATTTTGAATCACTCTACTTTTAACCACAGGTGACTGCAATATATGCCTGTGGTTGTGTGTTTCTCTGGCAGATGTGGGGCTCTGCATGTAGGTGATCATATCCTTTCCATTGACGGGACTAGCACAGAGCATTGCTCCTTGCTGGAGGCCAGCCAGCTGTTAGCAGCCACATCAGAAAATGTCAAGTTAGAGATTCTGCCCGCTCACCACAGTAGACTTCCCCTCAAGTCTCTGGATACAGGTATGTGCCATGGATGAGCATAACATATGAAACACATCTGTTTCTTTGGGGCATGTGTATTTCTGGGCGGGAAATATCCATCACCATCCTAATGACACAGAAATGTGACATTAGGTACAGTTTTGAAAAAAAAACAAACAAAATTAAGATCTTCTGAGAGGAGCCAAGAACCTCGCCTTTTATTCATGCTTGTGGATTGGTGTGATTAATTTTCTACTTTGGGAAATTAGTGTAGGGTTGCCAGGTGTCCACTATTTGAGTGGACAGTCCACTTTTTCACATTATGTTCACTATTTTTTTTCACAAAATAGTGGACATTTTTTTATTCAAAAGCTTTATGATGAAATGGTACGTAATCTAAAGCTGTACAGTCTACTTTTTTTTACTACTTAACCCCCCCCCCCCCGCTTGTCTGCTATTTTTTGGAAGCAGACCTGGCAACCCTAAATTAGTGTCTTCTAGAATCAAGCAACCATCACCGTGCCAAAATAATAGTGATGGATAGAGGATTTATAATACTTCAATGATGGCTGAGTGATGTTCTCAAATCACTGTAAATCACTAGTGAAGGAATTGCCAATGCCAGTCCTGTCATGGGCCAAGCTAATGAATAGATCAAATAGACCATTTTAATTGTTTGGTTGTTTAGATTATTTCTTTGTAAAAAAAAAATAGTTTAGGTAAAAGGTACCTCAAATAATTAAACACTGAGGTGATGATGGCCCTTCTCATGCATGTGTTACAAGGTATATGTCCAGCTTGTTACCTTGTATATGTCCATATACAAGATGTATGTTCTAAAAACAAAGCATGCTGTTGATTTCATAACTGTATGCTTATTCACATGCACATTTATGTGAATGTAATTAATTGATGAACGCTAGTATGATTAATATATCTAGATCTGTGATTTTCTTAATTGTGTCGCTATCCTCAATCACCATCTATTGGCAGAATTTGAAAAGGTCTTGGGATCGGGGTGCAAACCTCTCTGTTGTTTTTGTTTGTTTAGCTTCCATGCCACTTCAGCCATTAAGACTCTAAATAGCCTATAGCAATATATAAATAGTGTCAACACACTAGTCATAAAAGCAATCATCATTCAGCATTAATGCATAAAACTATGACTATAACAATTCATAATCCTCTAAACATAATTAAACACAGATTTACGTTCTGTAGTAAATCATCAAAGTGTCTTCATCTCAAGTACCTCCTAAATAACAGCATTTTTTTAAATGAGCTGGTAAGCCTGGCTTTTCAGCATTTTTCACATTCTAGCCTTCAAATGTATAGAGGAAAGAGTGGTTTTCTAGATGCTTGTATTACAAGGATCCATAACTCTTCATGAAAAGAACTTTTTCCAAAGCAAATTTAGAGGGAAATGTTTAAGTGAAAGATCACAGATTTTTTTTAAAACTCATTTTTTCATTCCTTTTGTTTTTTAACACTACACCTTCTTTCTGGAGTAGTGAAACACTTCATGAGGATTAGCTTGATGTTGTTTAGAGAGAAGGTTTTTTAGATTTTTGGAAGGCGATTTTATGAAAGTTGTTCTGAATACAATCAAGAAATGTGACTAAGTTCTCTGGCAAGTGTTTCAGCCTGGGTTGTATTTTCCAGTCTTGTTTTACAACTGAAACTTGCGAAGGCTGTCTCTTCTAGTCATGAGTTTAACTCCAACTCTTTTAATTTTGCACACTCTAATAACCATCCTTCATGGATGAGATACTCTCTATAAATTGAACGTTCAGCTACAGTTTATGGAGTACCAGTGTTGTGAAGGACTAGCTCTCTGACAAAGGACACTGCAGTGACAAGTAGCTATACTACATTCTTTGACCTAAAGTAATTTCCATGGATAATATCAGGAGCTTCTGTTCCCATTTTTGGAGACTATCTATTGTATTTATTAAGCCTCTTCTGGCAATGTGAGTAAGCTCTTTGCAAGTGATTGTCCACTGTGCGATTTCTAGGTTTATCATGAAATAGTACAAGCTATGTTCACTGTCTAATCCAGTGTTTCTCAACCTTGACAATTTTAAGGCATGTGGACTTCAACTCCCAGAATTCCACAGCCAGCATTGCTGGCTGTGGAATTCTGGGAGTTGAAGTCCACATGCCTTAAAATTGTCAAGGTTGAGAAACACTGGTCTAATCCATAATAAGAAACAGAAAGTGAGAAATATGTGCTCTTTAATTCAGTGGCACTTACACTGACCTTATGTAAGCAACAGAAGAGTGATGTGCCTTAAACTATCAAGAGGAAAGTTTATTGCAAGTTCACATAAGAGAAATATATTTCCTCAAAGGTGCTGTTAAACTTGCCCTTTCACCTTCATTATTCCCTGATCCTGTGGTTTTGAAAGTGCAGGAAAAATGAGTCCTATCAGATTGAAAGTAGAAGACAAGTTGAGACTCTAGAAAGAGTACAGAGAAGAGCAACAAAGATGATCAGGGGACTGGAGGCTAAAACATGTAAGGAACGGTTGCTGGAATTGGGTATGTCTAGTCAAATGAAGAGAAGGATGAGGGGAGAAATGATAGCAGTGTTCCAATATCTCAGGGGCTGCCATAAAGAAGAGGGAGTCAGGCTATTCTCCAAAGCACCTGAAGGCAGGACAAGAAGCAATGGATGGAAACTAATCAAGGAGAGAAGCAATCTAGAACTAAGGAGAAACTTCCTGACAGTGAGAACAATTAACCAGTGGAACAACCTGCCTCCAGAAGCGGTGAATGCTCCAACACTGGAAGTTTTTAAGAAGAGACTGGACAGCCATTTGTCTGAAATGGTATAGGGTTTCCTGCCTGAGCGGGGGGGGGTTGGGCTAGATGACCTCCAAGGTCCCTTCCAACTATTATTATTATTATTATTATTATTATTATTATTATTATTATTATTATTATTATTATTATTATTATTATTATCATCATCATCATCATCATCATCATCACTATCACTATTATTACTATTATTATCAGTATTATCAGTATTATCAGTATTATTAGAATTAGTATTTAAGCTATATGAGCCAGTGTGCAAATATCTCAGTGTACCTGTTGAAGCACATCAAGCCAAGCAAAAAAATTACTCAGATATTTTAAGGACTTTCTTTCCCATTTGTGTTCATTGTCCAGGGGGTGATATCATCCATCCCACTTAGTTTAGTTAGCAAATAAAGACTCCTGGCCCATTGTTTACCAAGAGTATACTTTACTGAAAGCTAAAGTGGCTACAGAAGTAGCAAAGCAGAATCTCCCTGTTTGGCACACAAAAGTTACAATTAACTTTCCCTTTCACCTTGGCCATCCCCCTGTTATCGGTCCATGTCCAGTTAGCTGTCTTCGTGTTGTTTGGGTAATGGACCATCTGTTCACGCCTTCTCCATCTCCATGTTCTTTCGGTTGACCTTGGACTGGATTGGTGCGTTTCACTTTTCAGGCCAGCACAGCTTGATTCCCAAACCCCTCCCTTGTCTTCCTACATTCCGATCTTCTCCTTCCTCATGTTGCTAATGTCCGGCTGGCAGGTTACAATGCAAAGCTAGCAGAATGGCAGCCATGACAGGTGATTATTGTTTTTATGGGTGCAAGTGGGTTTTTAAAATTCTTTTAGTAGTGAGCCAACTAGTAGGTTTCAGTTGCCTGTGATTTTTGACATTCTCTTTTTGTTACATTATCTGTCTATTGTTGGCAACAGTCAAAGTGCAGAAGAGTGAACACCACCATTGCTGGGATCCTTGCGTCAGCTACTGCCACACCCACCATCCAGGACATTGCAAGACACCTACCTGGAATCAGACATCCAGCCAGGACTATTGTAAATGTAATGTAACCTATGTTTCTATTTTCTTGATCTGCGGAGTCACAATCTGAATTCACAGCAAACAGTGTGAAAATCTGCTGCCTGAGATTTACTCAAAATCTGTTCCATGAGCTGTTTCTTCTGGACCAGGTTTGCTCTTTCCTATTGCCAAGCCTTCTCTCCCTTTTTCTTCTGAAGACCCACTCTTGGTGTTCAAGGTCTTTTGGAAAAAGTGCATATGGTTTTTCTTCACCTGCTCCTCCAGGGACCACCTACCCCATTCTCAGTACTCTTTGCAAATCCCTTCCTTGTCCTGTCCTTGAGACATAGTATGTGGTATAGGAGTTCAGTTTTTCCCAATTATTTCTAAAAGAATGAGAATGAAGAGGGATTCTCTCTACTCTGCACAGGCTTTGAGAAAGCCCTTTCCAATTTGGCAAATTTAAATATTTTCATAGGTCAGCAAAGATGCTAACATCAAGGCTGGAAGACTGTTAATTTAGTAATATTTAGCTAGATACTTTGGGAATTGGAAAAGAATTATCAGCTGTATCTCATTTTGATCAATGTGTTGGTAAAACTGGGACACAAAATGACATATTTTATTTCTTGACTAATAATTAAGCATGGGATTGAATTGATATGAACGAGTAGGGGTTCACATCGATTACTCAAATGGCTTCTTTTGTCTTTTATCTAGCTCTTGTAGCTTCCAACTTTGGATCTCCCACCATGAATACATCAGGGTTGGCCTACCAGAATTCCAATACTCTACCTCGAAGCAATCATCCCATGAGCCCACGTGCCACAATGATGAGGAGAAGACAGAGGAAGAAGGAGCACAAAAGTTCATGTAAGGATCACAGGCTCTTGCAGGATTATTCAGGCTCATCTTCAAAATTCCTTCCCCTTTTTTGAGGAATTAAAGGGAATGGACACTATATCTATTTTATTCATCATTATGGTGATATGTTCTTATTGGCTCCCTTTAAATTTTCCTCCAAACTCAGAAACTCTTCCTTCTCATCTAGACTTTTTGTCATACTTTCTCCTAGAGGTAGAGGGATGTTGGTGCTGGTGGATGCATATCTTCTTATCAGAGGGACAGCCTTTCTCTCCAAAAAGCTTGTTAAGATTGATGGCAGTTTGCTTGAGCTGACTGTCTCCCTCATAAAAAAAATGGTTTCTAAGTTTCTCTTTGGAAAATGAAGTGTCCAGTGTTTCCTTAAAGTGCTAACTTGGTTGTGTCCCTCTCTTGTTTCAGTATCATTAGCTTCCAGCACTGTGGGTCCTGGTGGGCAGATTGTTCATACAGAAACAACAGAGGTGATTTTAAGAGGAGACCCCTTGAACGGCTTTGGACTGCAGCTCCAGGGTGGGATCTTTGCTACCGAAACCCTCTCTTCGCCGCCTCTCATCCGTTTCATTGAGCCAGACAGCCCAGCAGAAAGGTTAGAGATCTCTTGGGTTTCAGATGAGAAGGGTAGTGCTGCTACTTGTTAACAGAGGTGTCCCCTCCTTCCCCATAGAAATCACTAGACAACCCATGATCCGTTGGGTCATCCTTTTTTCAACATATAACATAGGCTGGTACTGTTTCCCCTCCCCCTATGACCCTCAGCAGAGTCCCTGTGAAACTTCCTCTTCCTCCACCTGCTCAGTTGACCCATGGAACTGCCTATCACTTTGCTTAGTATGGGAGGAACAAAGGGAACTGCAGACCACAAAGAAAACTCCACACCCACTTCCTCTCCTGATATATTTCCCTTCTATACAAGGTGCCCTCCAGCCAGCCCTACCCAGCAGGAATCTAAGTTCCCTCACCATCCACTGCCATTAAAACATTTCAAATTTTGGCTTGACATCCAAAGCAGCCAAACTTCACTTACCCATCAGGCCTTGCTGCCAGATGATTGGACACAAGGTCAAGAGGGAGGCAAAAATCAGATCAGGTATACACTCTTCCCATCTTCCCTTGCACCATGCAAACTGTGGCTTTCTAAGAAAAGTAACATGGCACTGAGGCCACCACAGCTTTGCAAATTTCTATCCCATGGGAATAATGGATCCTGCATTTTGGATGCATTCTATAAGTTAGCCCATTTGAGGTATCTTGGTTCAGAAATTGTTGCCCTATGATACATCACTTTGCCCGATTAAAGACTACAAACAAACAGACACAAAAGTTTTAGTAGTATAAACTTTCCTCTGAATTCTAACTGGCAATTACTTGGAGCTTGCACAGGTATAAAATAATTAACAAAATAGCCATTTCTGTTCTATTTTGTTGTACATTGCAGTGTTTTCAGCATTTCCTGAGAGGGGCAATTGAATCTAGATTTTGTGGTATTGTAGTAGCATTCAGAATTAAACAAGCAGCCTACCATGAAATGGCCACAAATCATTAAAATTGCACCATAATTATCCTGACAGCTTGATTAACTCAAAGAGCACTCTGCTCTGTGATCTAAATTTGACCACTTTGCTACAGCATCAGAAATAATAGATTATTCTGATATTGCATTCATAGCCTGAAGGACAGCAGTAGGTTTGCTTCTTCTGTAAAAGGGATTCTTTTTCAAGTGTGTGTTTGCATGTACAAGTGGTTGTCTACTAATGACCAGTCCCTTAGCAATTGTTTAGCATTATGACAGTCCTCTTTGGGGATACTTACAATCTGGTTCTGAAGTTCCAACAACCGCTTCCCCTAATGATCACCTGGCAATATCTCAGACGCTCAAAACCATCCCCTGTTTATGGCCGTTTGCAGCCTCTCATAGTCGTGTGACCACATTTTACTGACTTTTTGCCAAAAAAACCCTGAAAGTAAATGCCAGTTTTTGCCAAACCCAATCCATAGCAAATCATTGGTTTGCCTAACAACTGTGGTGTTCATTTAATGACCACTGCAAAAAAAGGTTATAAAACCAGGTCAGTCGTTTACAACTGTCACTACTTTAAGCCGCGAGGGGAAGGCTCCATTACAGTCATAAATCGAGGACTACCCATGGTAAGTAAGGACAGGTATCTGCTGTTGGGTGCAGTTGCAGCAAGTGAAAAGAGAAGATTTGTTTTGTGAGTATAACACTAATACAGCCACGGTGAAAAATTGAATCAGAGCAAATAAATCTTAGATCAGAGAATCTCAGAAGAGAAATAGTTCATGCTATCTATACAGCATAGTTTGTTATCGTAAAACTCTGTGTGCCTTCAGACAAATTGTAAGAATGAGGGAAGTTTTCTATGCTTTCAAACGTGATGTGTATTTATGTTACATATTTTGTACTCATCTTCATTTTTCGCAGGCAGCTGTTTTAGGAGCAGATGTGATTGTAAAAATATATAATATCTGAAAGGGTTGTAATCTGAAGTATAGATTCAGACTGCATTGTGTCTCACATGTTCTTGGTGAGGTTGAATTTGGTCTAGTATTTTTTTATGGTCCCTTTCTTTCAGGAAGCTCAGGACATTTTTAGACTAGTAAATGTGACAGACATCATAGTTGCAAAGTCAGCAGTTTGTGTATGTCTATGAGTGTGTGTGTTTGTGTACAATTAGATGTGTTGTCCCAAGAGGCATGGTATTTACTCAGTTGTGCTTGGCACAAGAGCAAAACATGGGTATATCTAAATGGAATAAGTAACACAAGTTTTATGATGTTTTTAGTTTTTACGTGGAAGCTTAAGAAAGAGACATCCAACCTAGAATTAAAAAGAAATTTCCAGTGAGAACAATTAATCAGTGGAACAGCTGACCTCCAGAAGTTGTGGGTGCTCCATCACTGGAAGTTTTTAGAATAGAATAGAATAGAATAGAATAGAATAGAATAGAATAGAGCTGGAGGGGACCTTTGAGGTCTTCTAGTCTAGCCCCCTGCTCAAGCAGGAGAACCTATAACATCTCAGAAAGTGACTGTCTAATCTCTTCTTTAAAATCTCCAGTGATGGAGCGCCAACGATTTCTGGGGGTAAGCTGTTCCACTGGTTGATTGTCCTGACTATCAGGAAGTTTAAAAAGTTTAAAAAGAGATTGGACAGTCATTTATCTGGAATGGTATAGGGTCTGCTGCTTGAGCAGTGGGTTGAACTAGAAGATCTCCAAGGTTCCTTCCAACTGTCTGTTATTCTGTATACTGCATATTCATGGACCCCATCCTACAGAAATATTTCTTTGCTAGTTTTGCGATCCTCTATTTTTAATTATAAGAATTTGACAATAGGATATAAGCTGCATTAGATATGTTTGCATTCTGCTAACTGCAGTGATGCCCAAGAGTAGCACACAGACTTCCATGTTATCTAAGTGCAACTAACTAACTCTGAATTCTGTCTTATTCTTCCTTGCTTATCAGATTAAGCTTGTATTTGCTTCCGTAAAATTTACGCTGCAGTTTCTTTCAGTCAACACAACATTGATATTTTATTTTCTGCGTATTCCATAAATCTTGAAAGTTTATATCTCGAGGCTGCACATGTGATCAGCCATTTATGATAATCTTCTTAGGACCCAATAAATCTTTGTTTATCTTATTAAGCTGGTTAAGTGCAGAAAATATGTTTCATAGTAGATTGTGTTCTGTTTGATAAGTTACAATTGGGGCAAGGCTCATTTCTACAATCCAAACCTTGTAGTGATTGAAGATGAACTGTTATGATTTATTCTCAAAGGCCATGAAATACTTAACTCAGAGGAGTCCAGGAAGTGGGGTTAGTACCTATGGAGGCTAAAAAAAGTGTTGTTTTTAGAATTTGGAAACAAGATCAGATTTGTGAGAGATCCTTAGAAATTACTTTTCCCAAACCAGACAGTTGTCTCCAGGGTATGGTAAAAAAAAGTTAAGAGGGCATCCATAACAATACACTCAAAGTTATGCCTTGGCTGTTTTCACCATACCTTGCAGATATCTCAGCTATTGTCACATTGTTTTCCACAAATGCTAGTATTTAAATGAGGCCATATACAACTGAGACCCTAGACCTCATTAATTGGAGGTAATGAAACAGAGGTTGAATGGCTTCTACCAGGGATGTTGGAGCTGCATGATATATGATGATTTTGCATTAAGTGCAGGATTGTCCTAGTTGATTTCCAGGATCCCTTGCAACTCTAAAATGCAATGAGATCTGCCTAGGTTTATTTTACAAAATAGTATTCCTATTGCTGGCTTCGATTATTTTTGTTGCCTTGTTTTTGTGGGCATATTTCATTATGTCGATTTATTCTGTTTAATTTTTGATGACATTGTTTGCCCTGTTGAATATTCTATTTACTGAAAGGTAGATAGACACATTGAAAAATTTATGTACAATTTAAGATTAAAAATGTCCAGATTATACAGATTCTGCATTTTCAAGCCTTTTTTTCTTGTTAAAACAAAGTAGAGAAGCAAATTTATATTGCACACCGAGATAGAAGCCAAAAACAAAAAGGAAACTTTTTCCCTCTCCAGATTTTCTTCTTTGAATTTTAATTATGTATTCTTCAGATATATTAAGTGGTTTACATGTCTCACTCAAGGATGTACAGTATGTCTGTATTTTGATAGCTCTCATAGTATGACATAGTGGCTAAAGTTGGCCATAGCACCATAGACACATATGGTTCCTATGCTACTATGATTCTATGATATTTTCCAATGTTTTTCTGCTCTCATTCCTTGTTACTTCACAAATGAAACGGGGTTATGATCTTCAGTTCAGTAACATTACAGTTTTCCCTCTAGAAACAAATCAGTTGACCCAATTTTATGTGAATACTTGGAAAGGTTATTCTATAGGTGATTACGTACGTTTGACGGGTGAGTGTGAGAATAGCTACCTTTGTAAGACTCAGCCATTATGAAAAAAAAATGCCAACTCCTTTCCACTGTTTTTTACATTGGATAAGTAAGAGAAATACATAAAGATAGATTCACATTTTCAAATTCTTCTTAGCTAATCAAAATAAGAACATTTTTATTACTACTGTTGCTGATAACAAGGTAAAGGATGTGTGGAATTTTGCAAGGATGATCATAAAACACTATATGCTTTCCATCTTCCACTAATAGCACAATTGCTTTATCTTGAAACATTTGATCAAGCAGCCACTTCTTATTAGAATAAAGACCAAATACTCTTTGTTTAAATTCAGCTGCAGATGCCATCTGGCCACGACAAAGTACTCAAATTTTCTCAGGCATTGAAGAATAATGCTGTGGGAAAGAGACTTCTGTTGTTTAACTGGGAGAAAGCCCAAATCACACCACTGAGGTTCATCTATGTCTTTTAGATCAACACCCTTCATCCATGACCTAAATTTCTCTTAGTCAGATACAGATTTTCCTGACCAGTCCTAATAAACATATATGAAATTGTCATATGCTATACGAGGCTATCCAGTCATATGCTATACGAGGCTATCCTATTCATATTTTGATCGTTGTTGAATGCCAAGATTGTTGTAGTCTCTTATTGTACCCCAGTGAATTCTAAAAGTACTTAGCGTGGGGTATGATATAATCTTTCTAGTATTCTAGCCCCAACCTCAGGAGAACTAGCACTCATCTGCTTCATGCTATATTTCTGTTCTAAGTGGCTCACAGTGTCTCCAAAGCACTGAACAACACAGATGAGGCCATGGAATTGGGAACGAGGGAACAAGAATTCATCCAGGCAATCACATAATTCTTCTAAAGACGTTGGAGCAGCTCCAGAGTTTGTAAACAGGAAAACAGTCCCCTATCTCTACATTTGGGGACATAGCTGTAGCACATCTTGATCAGTGGCAGGCAGGCAAGTAAATTTGTGACTCACTGTAAGTTAGTCCTGCCTTCTTAACTAGCAACCAATCTCGGGCAACTAATGCATGTGTAACACAGGGAATATGTTGACCCTCAACGTATCCCTAGTATTATGTAGTTTGTGTTTTAAATGGGTTCAGCACAGTGCATCACAGAAACTCAACTTGTTACCTAAGCCAATCCAGTTGAAAAGCTAAGCAGGGTCAGGCTAGTTCAGGGGTAGGCAACCTTGGCTCTTTTATGACTCGTGGACTTCAACTCCCAGAATTCCTGAACCAGCATGGCTCAGCTTGGAAACCTCTCCCTTTCCCCTTAGCATGGCTGGCTCAGGAATTCTGGGAGTTGAAGTCCACGAGTCATAAAAGAGCCAAGGTTGCCTACCCCTGGGCTAGTTAGAGAGAGACCTCCAGGCATGTATATGGTAGACCCAGGGAGCTGAAAAAGCAGAGGGAAACCATTTCCATATTGCTGCATGGAAATGTCTGTGAAGTCACCAGGAGACAAACTTGATTTGAAGGAAATTTTACTTTTACCGTTAAGGTAAAAGCATAAGAATATTTTTTCCCTTTTTTCATTTGCCATTCCTTAAATATAATAAGTGAGGCCAGATTTAGATGTGGTGAGGCCGTAAGCTATGGGAGGCTGCAGAGGCTCTATTTGGCCAGTGTGCTTTACACTATTGCTGGGATGCACCACAAGGTCCTGATAGGGTGGGGAACTAGACTATTGCTGGGATGCACCACAAGGTCCTGATAGGGTGGGGAATGATTCCTCTTTGAAACATGACCTGAGTCCATGCAGAACCAAAGCACATCTTAATTAATGAGGTTCATGTGAGGCATGCAAGAGGGTGTAGCTTATGAAGACTATCATACATGAAGTTGTAATTTTCATTAACAAATGAAAACAAAATCCTGACATTTTGGGAGAACCTTTTGGGGCTGTGAGGCCCCAAGTTTAACTTGCTAAACCTAGGCCTCAGTCCAGTTCTCACAGTGGGGAAAAGTACAAATGTGTGAAGTTATTCAGAGGTGCCACCAGATCTTGAGAAGCTGCCAGGTTACTTCTACAGCAAGGAAAGGAAAAGCTAAATCGAGATGGCAGCCTTGTCAGGTAGACCAGAGAAGAAACATGTTCCAGATGAATTAATGTTATTTCATTGAAAGCTGTGAATTGGGCTACTCTCAGTAACACTATTAGAATCAGTTCTTTGTGTGAATCTATTATTTTGTTTTATGAAATTTCCTCCTTTCTACATGTGTTACTGATTAACTGAGAAAATATAGTAGAAGATAAAGAGGGGAAAAAGCAAATACTTATTTAAAAATAAAATAAAAATTCAAAGATTGGTATACATTTTTAAGGGTTCTAGATTACTGGGTTAATGGAAAATTGACTTTGTTTATGTTCATCCTTCTGAAGATCTATGTGAACCTCCATGAGGATATTTTCTTATTAATTTTTAGAAAAAGGTGATTTTGTAAATGCAGCATCATAATTATATGTGGTATCTTGCATCAGTGCCTTTATTAAAGGAACAACTGGATATAATTTCATTTCACAAAATGTTATAAAGCTGGAGGATTTGAGCCTGAAAATATCCTATTAGCTCTTTTCAATCTACTAATAAGGGAAATAAAATGTCTTGGACTCAAACAACCAAGATATAAAGCTTTTAGATTTTCAAAGTACTCTGTTCTTGGGCTAAAATATATATTGGTTCTTGATTTTTTTCCCCCTATTGATTAGAAATGCAAAGATGTTTAGACAATTTTACTAGAAGCTCAGTTCAAATAATGGATTTTTCCCAGCCTTTGAATGGTACATCAGAACCACTCAACAGAGGAAGCTGCTTCTGTGATTTCTCAAATGCTTCTCCAGCCTTTTCATTGCAATAACTAAAAATACATAAAAATACACCCTTTTCTTTTAAAAGCATTAAGAGCTCCCTAACCATTTATGAGTTGTGGTATTTCCATGTGGCTTGCCATATTAATTTTGCAGGATTTTCAAGGATAGTCTTCACTCATTTTAAAATCCTGCCCCTGGATTTTGCAGTGGTTCCTATTCAATACCTCTCTGTTCCCATATTCTGAGGACTGCTACATTCACCTATTTATTGTTCAATTCATTTCTAAACTGCCTTTATCTCCTCTATGCAGAATCTTTTTTATGGCTTGATTCTTTCTCACTTTTGTATAGCATACAAGTAGTCCTCAACTTATGATCTGTCATTTAAAGTTATGACAGTCTCGAAAAGGGTGCTTTATGGCTCATAAAACTTCCTTCCTTCCTTCCTTCCTTCCTTCCTTCCTTCCTTCCATCCTTCCTTCCTTCCTTCCTTCCTTCCTTCCTTCCTTCTTTCTTTCTTTCTTTCTTTCTTTCTTTCTTTCTTTCTTTCTTTCTTTCTTTCTTTCTTTCTTATCTCACTATCCAGAGTGACTTTAATCATCATAAAATGTTGCACCCCCTGTCACATGATCACATTTATGCTTCTTAGCAACCGGCTCACATTTACAACCAGTTGTAGTGTCCCACAGTCACATGACCGCAATTGACAATGTTTTCTGTCGGTCCCTGGCAAAACTCACCCATTCAGGAGAATGGATTTGCTTAATGACCAAACAATTCACTTAATGATTGCTATAAAAATGGTTAAAAATAATCAGGTCAAGTCATGTGAATGCCTTGACTTATGACTGCAGTAACTTATGATCAAAATTCCAGTTCCGATTGTTTTTGTAAGTCAAGGATCATCTGTAATTCTTTTCTTTTTTCTTCCATTCCTGCTATTCCAAGTCTCCAAATGCAGAACTATCAATACAATAAATGTATGACAAGTTTGTATAAGAAGTGTATCTTCAAGGGGAAAAATATGTAGGAAAAAAAAGTTACCTGATTTGCTGAAGCACTGAACTCAGCTAAATAAGCTTGCAACTTGCAATACGGCACATATAGTATTATGTAACTTTTGGTGTCATTAGTCTGAATGACAGTGGGGTCAGGAATGGTTAATTGGATTTCTGTAAGATTAAAGTAGGCTTCAAAGCAGCTTTCATATAACACTGATTTTAGTTTTAATGTATCTTTGGATATGTAGAAAGTCATGGAGAAAATATGTAGAAATAGTTAAAAAAACAAAAGCATGTGTTGAACCCAGGAAATAGAAAACATTACAAAGAAGCTCATTTAGGCTCTAACTTAATTCACTGCAATAGAAAAGAGTATGAAGGGAAACCCCTATCAGACTTTGGAGATATTATGGGTAGTCCATCAATGTGTATGAATCCTCTCTTATTTGACTGTCTCAAATATCTATGCTTCCGTATTGGATTCCCCATCAGCCTTGTTCTTTGATGTCATGGGAAAGGGGCTACATAGTCTTGATGAATGTCCTTTTCTCTTGACTTCTCGCAATCTCCTTCATCACTCTTCATTAAAGGTGTGGCCTTCTACAAGTTGGAGACAGAGTACTTTCCATCAACAGCATTGCAACTGAAGATGGGACAATGGAGGAAGCCAACCAGCTGTTGCGGGATGCAGCACTTACTAATAAAGTCGTGTTAGAGATTGAATTTGATGTGGCAGGTATGGATATTTTTTCAGCCTAATCCCAATTTCCTTTTTAATTATGTTGCTTTGTTTTCAGTATAGTTAGCAGCAGCATAGAACAGTAAGTGACCAGATTATTTTTAGTAACCCAGAACCAGACGTGATGCATGATCTTGATGTATTGGGCAACTGTATATTGATTTCTGAAGCCAGAACCAATGTATGCCATATATAAAATTTTAAATATGTAGCAACAGTTATGTAGTAGTACATTAAGAGAAGTGAAGTAGGTCTGCTTAAGGGAAAGACAATCAAATAATGGCAAAGCAACATTTTGAGCAGATAAAATGGCAGAATTCTTCAGAAGGTAGGCAGTTTGGTTGGAAAGGGCCTCAGACTGTGTGCTTCTGTAAAATTCCTGTTGATTAAAAGTAAGTTATCTAGGCATTCGTAGTCTGATTCTGTCTAAAAAAGCTCACTCGTTTTTATGAGAAATATGTAATTTTTCCAAATATCTGACTCAGATTGGTTCACCAGGCATAGGAATGAGATAGAGTATACAGGTAGTCCTTGACTTATGGCCACAACTAGGACCAGAATTTCCATTGCTATAAAGAAGGGAGTACTGAGTCATGGCCAAATTTTACAATCTTTTTTGCTACAGTTGTTAAGCAAACAACTAGTTAAGTGAGTCGCACAGTCGTTAAGAAAATCCAGCTTCCCCCATTGACTTGGCTTGTCAGAAACCAGCTGGGAAGGTCACAAATAGTGATCACATGACCCCAGAATGCTGCCACTGTCTTAAATACATGCCAGTTGTCAAGCACCTGAGTTTTGATCACGTGACCGTGGGGACTGCTACAATATGAGGACTGGTTGTCTCTTTTTTCAATGCTGTGGTAACTTTTCACAGTCACTAAATGAATGTTTATAAATTGAGGACCATCTGTAGCTTCTTCGATCACTGGCAATATTATGATGCCTATGCATGTGAAGTACTCCTTTCACACACTAGTACAAACCTCTGGATGAAGATAAGAGATGGTGACCACACGAGATTTCTTGGTGATCTTCATGAGGGCCAACAACTGGATCTGGATCTTCCTGATTTTAATTAGCAGTTTTACAATTGCACTATCTTGTAACTAACAAAGGCTGAAAAGTGTAATTCAGAGTCAATTAATGTGATTATATTTAGGTATAGGAGACACTGGGAGTTACTGGGACACCTATAAAGCTCCAGTTCTCATTTCAGCAAATGGGAACACGTCTGACCCAGGAATGTGACAGCAGCTCCCTCCATTCTCCATGTTCTCACAGCCGCTGGGCTCCTGTCACTAGATAATTGTCAAAGCTCTGATGTGTCTATAGTTGTAAAACTAAAAATGGCTAAATCTTGGAGGGGAAACTAATAACTTGTTACTTAATTTGGTCTTGTTAGAACAACTGGGATTTTACTTTGTTATAGAATCTGAGCTGCGAAGCCCTAAAATAAATAATAAGAAAAAGACTGACACTTGCACCTGCACACAACTTTTTCTTTCAGAAATGATGTAAATTAGTGCATTTCTCTCTTAGATCCTGATCTACAAAAAATACTGAATATATTTATTCAGTTTAGGACCCACCTTTCTGTATGTTGAATGCTATATATGCATAAACATTCATCTACTAAAGGCCTTTNCTTTTAACGTATCCAAAACGCCATTCCAGTCTCCCATCACAATCAAAGAATTATAGTCCATCGCCACAACTTTCTGATGTAGTTGTCTGTAAAATTGTTTTTGAGCTACAAGTTGATTAGGGGCATAAACCCCTATTACTAAACACTTTCTTCCATTTAAGTTTATTTCCACAAATAAATATCTTCCTTCTTTATCAACATTTCTCACCTATTCTAAGCTGTAGCACATCTTGATCAGTGGCAGGCAGGCAAGTAAATTTGTGACTCACTGTAAGTTAGTCCTGCCTTCTTAACTAGCAACCAATCTCGGGCAACTAATGCATGTGTAACACAGGGAATATGTTGACCCTCAACGTATCCCTAGTATTATGTAGTTTGTGTTTTAAATGGGTTCAGCACAGTGCATCACAGAAACTCAACTTGTTACCTAAGCCAATCCAGTTGAAAAGCTAAGCAGGGTCAGGCTAGTTCAGGGGTAGGCAACCTTGGCTCTTTTATGACTCGTGGACTTCAACTCCCAGAATTCCTGAACCAGCATGGCTCAGCTTGGAAACCTCTCCCTTTCCCCTCAGCATGGCTGGCTCAGGAATTCTGGGAGTTGAAGTCCACGAGTCATAAAAGAGCCAAGGTTGCCTACCCCTGGGCTAGTTAGAGAGAGACCTCCAGGCATGTATATGGTAGACCCAGGGAGCTGAAAAAGCAGAGGGAAACCATTTCCATATTGCTGCATGGAAATGTCTGTGAAGTCACCAGGAGACAAACTTGATTTGAAGGAAATTTTACTTTTACCGTTAAGGTAAAAGCATAAGAATATTTTTTCCCTTTTTTCATTTGCCATTCCTTAAATATAATAAGTGAGGCCAGATTTAGATGTGGTGAGGCCGTAAGCTATGGGAGGCTGCAGAGGCTCTATTTGGCCAGTATGCTTTACACTATTGCTGGGATGCACCACAAGGTCCTGATAGGGTGGGGAACTAGACTATTGCTGGGATGCACCACAAGGTCCTGATAGGGTGGGGAATGATTCCTCTTTGAAACATGACCTGAGTCCATGCAGAACCAAAGCACATCTTAATTAATGAGGTTCATGTGAGGCATGCAAGAGGGTTTAGCTTATGAAGACTATCATACATGAAGTTGTAATTTTCATTAACAAATGAAAACAAAATCCTGACATTTTGGGAGAACCTTTTGGGGCTGTGAGGCCCCAAGTTTAACTTGCTAAACCTAGGCCTCAGTCCAGTTCTCACAGTGGGGAAAAGTACAAATGTGTGAAGTTATTCAGAGGTGCCACCAGATCTTGAGAAGCTGCCAGGTTACTTCTACAGCAAGGAAAGGAAAAGCTAAATCGAGATGGCAGCCTTGTCAGGTAGACCAGAGAAGAAACATGTTCCAGATGAGTTAATGTTATTTCATTGAAAGCTGTGAATTGGGCTACTCTCAGTAACACTATTAGAATCAGTTCTTTGTGTGAATCTATTATTTTGTTTTATGAAATTTCCTCCTTTCTACATGTGTTACTGATTAACTGAGAAAATATAGTAGAAGATAAAGAGGGGAAAAAGCAAATACTTATTTAAAAATAAAATAAAAATTCAAAGATTGGTATACATTTTTAAGGGTTCTAGATTACTGGGTTAATGGAAAATTGACTTTGTTTATGTTCATCCTTCTGAAGATCTATGTGAACCTCCATGAGGATATTTTCTTATTAATTTTTAGAAAAAGGTGATTTTGTAAATGCAGCATCATAATTATATGTGGTATCTTGCATCAGTGCCTTTATTAAAGGAACAACTGGGTATAATTTCATTTCACAAAATGTTATAAAGCTGGAGGATTTGAGCCTGAAAATATCCTATTAGCTCTTTTCAATCTACTAATAAGGGAAATAAAATGTCTTGGACTCAAACAACCAAGATATAAAGCTTTTAGATTTTCAAAGTACTCTGTGCTTGGGCTAAAATATATATTGGTTTTTGATTTTTTTCCCCCCTATTGATTAGAAATGCAAAGATGTTTAGACAATTTTACTAGAAGCTCAGTTCAAATAATGGATTTTTCCCAGCCTTTGAATGGTACATCAGAACCACTCAACAGAGGAAGCTGCTTCTGTGATTTCTCAAATGCTTCTCCAGCCTTTTCATTGCAATAACTAAAAATACATAAAAATACACCCTTTTCTTTTAAAAGCATTAAGAGCTCCCTAACCAATTATGAGTTGCGGTATTTCCATGTGGCTTGCCATATTAATTTTGCAGGATTTTCAAGGATAGTCTTCACTCATTTTAAAATCCTGCCCCTGGATTTTGCAGTGGTTCCTATTCAATACCTCTCTGTTCCCATATTCTGAGGACTGCTACATTCACCTATTTATTGTTCAATTCATTTCTAAACTGCCTTTATCTCCTCTATGCAGAATCTTTTTCTATGGCTTGATTCTTTCTCACTTTTGTATAGCATACAAGTAGTCCTCAACTTATGATCTGTCATTTAAAGTTATGACAGTCTCGAAAAGGATGCTTTATGGCTCATAAAACTTCCTTCCTTCCTTCCTTCCTTCCTTCCTTCCTTCCTTCCTTCCTTCCTTCCTTCCTTCCTTCCTTCCTTCCTTTCTTTCTTTCTTTCTTTCTTTCTTTCTTTCTTGCTTATCTCACTATCCAGAGTGACTTTAATCATCATAAAATGTTGCACCCCCTGTCACATGATCACATTTATGCTTTTTAGCAACCGGCTCACATTTACAACCAGTTGTAGTGTCCCACAGTCACATGACCGCAATTGACAATGTTTTCTGTCGGTCCCTGGCAAAACTCACCCATTCAGGAGAATGGATTTGCTTAATGACCAAACAATTCACTTAATGATTGCTGTAAAAATGGTTAAAAATAATCAGGTCAAGTCATGTGAATGCCTTGACTTATGACTGCAGTAACTTATGATCAAAATTCCAGTTCCGATTGTTTTTGTAAGTCAAGGATCATCTGTAATTCTTTTCTTTTTCTTCCATTCTTGCTATTCCAAGTCTCCAAATGCAGAACTATCAATACAATAAATGTATGACAAGTTTGTATAAGAAATGTATCTTCAAGGGGAAAAATATGTAGGAAAAAAAAGTTACCTGATTTGCTGAAGCACTGAACTCAGCTAAATAAGCTTGCAACTTGCAATACGGCACATATAGTATTATGTAACTTTTGGTGTCATTAGTCTGAATGACAGTGGGGTCAGGAATGGTTAATTGGATTTCTGTAAGATTAAAGTAGGCTTCAAAGCAGCTTTCATATAACACTGATTTTAGTTTTAATGTATCTTTGGATATGTAGAAAGTCATGGAGAAACTATGTAGAAATAGTTAAAAAAACAAAAGCATGTGTTGAACCCAGGAAATAGAAAACATTACAAAGAAGCTCATTTAGGCTCTAACTTAATTCACTGCAATAGAAAAGAGTGTGAAGGGAAACCCCTATCAGACTTTGGAGATATTATGGGTAGTCCATCAATGTGTATGAATCCTCTCTTATTTGACTGTCTCAAATATCTATGCTTCCATATTGGATTCCCCATCAGCCTTGTTCTTTGATGTCATGGGAAAGGGGCTACATAGTCTTGATGAATGTCCTTTTCTCTTGACTTCTCGCAATCTCCTTCATCACTCTTCATTAAAGGTGTGGCCTTCTACAAGTTGGAGACAGAGTACTTTCCATCAACAGCATTGCAACTGAAGATGGGACAATGGAGGAAGCCAACCAGCTGTTGCGGGATGCAGCACTTACTAATAAAGTCGTGTTAGAGATTGAATTTGATGTGGCAGGTATGGATATTTTTTCAGCCTAATCCCAATTTCCTTTTTAATTATGTTGCTTTGTTTTCAGTATAGTTAGCAGCAGCATAGAACAGTAAGTGACCAGATTATTTTTAGTGTCCCAGAACCAGACGTGATGCATGATCTTGATGTATTGGGCAACTGTATATTGATTTCTGAAGCCAGAACCAATGTATGCCATATATAAAATTTTAAATGTGTAGCAACAGTTATGTAGTAGTACATTAAGAGAAGTGAAGTAGGTCTGCTTAAGGGAAAGACAATCAAATAATGGCAAAGCAACATTTTGAGCAGATAAAATGGCAGAATTCTTCAGAAGGTAGGTAGTTTGGTTGGAAAGGGCCTCAGACTGTGTGCTTCTGTAAAATTCCTGTTGATTAAAAGTAAGTTGTCTATGCATTCGTAGTCTGATTCTGTCTAAAAAAGCTCACTCGTTTTTATGAGAAATATGTAATTTTTCCAAATATCTGACTCAGATCGGTTCACCAAGCATAGGAATGAGATAGAGTATACAGGTAGTCCTTGACTTATGGCCACAATTAGGACCAGAATTTCCATTGCTATAAAGAAGGGAGTACTGAGTCATGGCTAAATTTGACAATCTTTTTTTGCTACAGTTGTTAAGCAAACAACTAGTTAAGTGAGTCGCACAATCGTTAAGAAAATCCAGCTTCCCCCATTGACTTGGCTTGTCAGAAACCAGTTGGGAAGGTGACAAATAGTGATCACATGACCCCAGAATGTTGCCACTGTCTTAAATACATGCCAGTTGTCAAGCACCTGAGTTTTGATCATGTGACCGTGGGGACTGCTACAATATGAGGACTGGTTGTCTCTTTTTTCAATGCTGTGGTAACTTTTCACAATCACTAAATGAATGTTTATAAATTGAGGACCATCTGTAGCTTCTTTGATCACTGGCAATACTTATGATGCCTATGCATGTGAAGTACTCCTTTCACACACTAGTACAAACCTCTGGATGAAGATAAGAGATGGTGACCACACGAGATTTCTTGGTGATCTTCATGAGGGCCAACAACTGGATCTGGATCTTCCTGATTTTAATTAGCAGTTTTACAATTGCACTATGTTGTAACTAACAAAGGCTGAGAAGTGTAATTCAGGGTCAATTAATGTGATTATGTTTAGGTATAGGAGACACTGGGAGTTACTGGGACACCTATAAAGCTCCAGTTCTCATTTCAGCAAATGGGAACACGTCTGACACAGGAATGTGACAGCAGCTCCCTCCATTCTCCATGTTCTCACAGCCGCTGGGCTCCTGTCACTAGATAATTGTCAAAGCTCTGATGTGTCTATAGTTGTAAAACTAAAAATGGCTAAATCTTGGAGGGGAAACTAATAACTTGTTACTTAATTTGGTCTTGTTAGAACAACTGGGATTTTACTTTGTTATAGAATCTGAGCTGCGAATCCCTAAAATAAATAATAAGAAAAAGACTGACACTTGCACCTGCACACAACTTTTTCTTTCAGAAATGATGTAAATTAGTGCATTTCTCTCTTAGATCCTGATCTACAAAAAATACTGAATATATTTATTCAGTTTAGGACCCACCTTTCTGTATGTTGAATGCTATATATGCATAAACATTCATCTACTAAAGGCCTTTATTACACTTGCAAATTCAAAGAGAAATAAAACGACATGCAAAAAGATGTCACCTATAATTTAAATGTACAGGTAGTCCTTGTCTTACAATTTGTTTAATGACCATTTGAAGTTACAGTGGCACTAAAAAAAAAGTGACTTATGACCATTTTTCACACTTAGCAATCATTGCAACATCCCCAAGGTCATGGGATCAAAATTAAGATGCTTAGCAACAGGCATGTACTTACGACAGTTGCAATGTCCCAGAGTCATGTTATCACCAAGCAAAGTCAATGGGGAAACCAGATTCACTTAACAACCATGTTACTAACTTAACAACTGTAGTGATTCATTTAACAACAGTGGCAAGTAGGGTCATAAAAGGGGGCAAACTCACTTAACAGCTGTCTTGCTTAGCAATAGAAACTTTGGGCTGAATTGTCATAAGTTGAGGACAACCTGTAAATTTCAGCTGCATTATATTATTGATCACTTAATTGTACTGAACTAAATACACTAAGGAAATATTCTATTAAGTACAAGACACAACTTATTATGAGCTATTAGAAAATATTACAGAAAACGTAAAGCAGCTTCATTCCTTATGATCTTCCCGTTAAATCTGCCCAAAATTGTTCTAGCTAACAGTGTTCTGAAACTCAACATATGATCTGGCCCAACTGTCTTGCAGATTTTGATTCCAGTGACAGCAAATTCCAGTATGAATAGGAAGTTGTGCATATAGGAGAGCCACTGAAAACTGAAAAGTGACTTATGTCAGTGGTCTTTTATCAAATACCTTTTTCCAATGCCAAAGTAAACTTTGTGCTACACTACTGTACTTACCTTTACACATATTGGGAATTTTAGTACAGGCAGACAAAGCAACCCACCCTATGACTCTCTGGTTTGATCTTGCCCTTTTTAATTGGTCTACTTGTTCCACAGAATCTGTCATTCCAAGCAGTGGTACCTTCCATGTGAAACTGCCTAAGAAAAGGGGAGTGGAACTTGGGATCACTATCAGTTGTAAGTATTTCTAAGTTACAAGCTTCATTTGCCATTTTCTTTTCTATAAGAGAATGTTCTGAAGATAACTTTCTGCATTAAATCTTTTCAAGGCACATTTGCCCACCAAGTTAGAGTCAGTTCCCTCCTAGTGATCGATAATGTCTTCTAATATCATCTAAACATTAATATGATGGTATAGCAGCAATGAAGACAAGGTGTATGTTGGCTTTACAATGGTTGGGTGGTGCTGTAAAATCTTCCCTGCCATGATTTTCTAAATCGTGTTCACAAGAACTCCTAAACTCAGATCAGTTTCAGTGGTGCTCATTTCCAAATCAATAATAACTTTTTAAAAAGTTAGACTTATATTTTGCCTTTTCTCCAGGAGTCCAAGGGTTCATGTATTGCACTTCCTCTTCCAATGTTTCCCACAACATGTGTCACTGACACAAAGTCACCCGGTGACCTTCCTTAGTGGAGGCAAAACTTGAATCTGGATATCCTGGTCTTAGTTCAGCACTTTAATCATTACACCATATCAACTCATTGGTTTTTTTTTTTTTTAAGAAATGCATACTGTTTTCTGAAATTAATTTAAAATTCTACCCATGTTTCCTACTTCAGACAAATGTTAGGAAGTGCTGGGTGCTTTTTGAAATTAGTGGCATTATTGTGTATTCCCAGCCTCACCGTGTTGGTAGCAGTTTCTGCTAAAATATAGCTCTGAACTCAAGTAGAAATTCCTCTCTGAGCAGCAGAGTTGTCACATTTTCTTTCCTAACTGAAATATTCTGAGGAGCACGTAATTGAATGGATTATAAAGCAAATGTTATGCTTTAGAGCAGACATGTCAAACTTGCGACGTCACGTGACGGCACGCAACGTATCGGGACAGTTTTGCCATTGCCGGCAATGGGGTGGGCGTGATGCATCCGGCCCGCAGGGCGGCAGTTTGTCACCCCTGCTTTAGAGTGATGTTCCTGTTCAGACCATCAATTGGTCAGCTGTGCTATCCTAAAAAATATTCTGTTCTTCTCCCATCAGTATTCTAAGTGCAGGTCTCAGTAGGCTATTTCCACGCATAGGAGAATTTTCATGTAAACTTTTATTGGTATTTCTGCAAACACTGAAGTTCCCCCACGTATTACTGAAACCGCCTCTTCTTAATGAATGGTGACACTGGATTATAGAAGAATTGGAATCTGAAGGATGACAACTTCTGTTACAATATACAATGGCACTACAACATGATGTACAGCATTTCAAACACAGACTCAATCATTACTATTTTTTAAGCAAAGAGCCCCGACTCCAATAATACATATGTTTAACTGAGACTCAAAGAAGCTGCTTGAGGGTTAAACCTATGAATAGATTAAAACACTTTAATGAGAGTTTTATTGCAGTAGCTTGTTGGAGGTTTGCTTGGGAGAGGTATAATTGAAAGTTATAATTTTCTCCAATAGTCATCAAGGCCTTTCATCCTTGTAATATAATGTGTACAAAAGTATCTGATTTTATCACTGGGTCAAGGGAATTCAAATATTTGCTTTTAATGTGACAAAGCCTTCATGTAATAATGTCAGATCTCCATAGAACATAGTACATTTCAGGGGCAGGAAAGTCAGCTGGGGCTTTTAGCCTTCCTGGATGACGAGCATGAATTCCTAACCCCAAGAGTTGAACAATAGCAAAACAAAATGGATTTTCTCTCACTAAATCAAAAATCTCTGATCCTTCTCGGCGGGTCTTGGGAGGTTTTCAAATGAAGCTGGTTGCATTTAGAATTTTAACCACTCAAAAATGAATGCATGACTTTGTTCCTTAGCTGTTATAGTTGAGGCTATAAAAAAATTGGAGAATAAATGGATGCAGCTTAATATAAAAGCTTTAGTACCTTCTAAGCATATTTCCATTTACCATATTTACTCTTGAGTAAACAGACATTTTCAAGCAGTAATTAATTTATATGCAGACTGTTCTTCTTTTGCAATTTGAACCTTAAATGTATGTTTTCTTTTGCCTATTTTTCCTCAGCTCTTCAAATTTGGGGGAAGGGGGATTTAAAATTGTCCTTTCCAGTCTGATTATTTCCCTTTTTCGAAATGCGATCGTAGTCATATTAAACTTGGCTTAAGTACACACATTTCCCCAATGCTTCATGTTTCAATCAGTGGTGTAAGATGTTTTATGACTGGCTATGTCAACGATGCATGTGAATTATATGCTCAAAACCCCTTCAGGGGGGAAATCTCTCCCATCTAAATCATTATACATTTTAATAAAAACTGGGCATGCGTATAGAGAAATATCATCCATCATGTCACAAATCAAAAGCTGTCTGTCTTCCTGCAGACTGTGAGAGCCTCTCTTTGAGGCAGGATGTTAAATAAGCGCCATCAGCCATCTTACTTCTTGTTTGGGGGGGCTAGAGGTTATTTCGGTGGCTGTAATGGGATATGGGAATGATCTTGGGAGGCAGAGGGGAAGAGCTGCAGTCAGGGGAACAGCAGGATAAGAGGCAGCTTAGCCTGCAGGAGGAATATGGGCACGGCAAATGTCTCAGAAGAGACTCTCCCTGGATTCTTGGGCTATAAAGGTGACGTGAGGAGACTTACAAGATTGAGGTCAGATTTATGAGGTAGTCCAGATAGGAAGCATGCCCATATGAACTGATTCTGCTTTATTGTGTGAATCTTGCAAGTATAGTTCTTCCCTATTGCCATTCATTCTGCAAGCTAAGTTTCCTACATATCCGATCGTTTCCCTGACTGCAACTCTAAGGTCACTCCCACATACCATTATAGTAGCTGAAGTCTTTCTTCTGATAGTCTCTTGATCCCTTGTGAGGTTAAATGTTATGGTTGACACTGAGTGTCTAGTAGGCTGAATTATGACAGCGAGAACCTTGTGAGCTTAGTTAGTATAATGTGTGAAAAGGGGAGACCTTTCTTAGCAGCAACCCTAGGCAACAATAAAAAAGAAATGACTGGTAGAAGGGCGACTTTATTCTTCATTAAGACTCTTTTTCACTTGCTTTGTCAAGATAAGAAGGAATTGTATGATTTAAGGAAATTTTGAATAGAAATATATATAATATATTTATAATACATATTCAAAAGCCAGTTTGGTGTATTCTCCAATTTTTCTCTCTTCAAGAATATATTAATTTCTAGACATGTGACATCAGACTTTTTTTAATCAACAACTGTGCCTAAGCTTAATGCTTTTAACATAATCTGTTTATGTGGAGAAACATTTTAAAAAATCTTTTTTAAAATTATCTTTAGTTCTTTCCTTAACATAGAAATCTATGCCATCTATAACAAGATTATTTACAAACTCATTTAAACTTTCCATTACCCTATAATCCATCCTTAATCTACATACAGTAAAACAAGGAATGAGATGTTACATTTTGAAGGATTTCTGTGATAAATTCTTTGAGACTCTTTGAGGTCCAATCTTTCTATTCCTGTAGTACATTTTTTTTACTAAATGGAAGAAAATATAAATGAAAGCTGTTGATTTTGCTCTAGTTTCTCCAAAGTAATTAAATCCAAGCTACAAAATAAGACATCTTAAACTTAGGCTGACACTTGGAACACAAGCTTATGTCTTAAAAAAACATGAGTGGTGTTTGATTCCTTTTGGTGAGCAAAACAAGACAGCTGTAGTTTGGCACAATATTTCTCTGTGCCTCCTGCTTGCTGTGAGCAACAAATTCTAAGTATATCATGCAAATGTAGTATATCATACAGAGAAGAAGAAAACCAAGAAGGAGAATTTGTAGCTATTTTGTTAACTGCTGGTGTGTGTATGCTCCTCAAGTTACAGTTCTGCTTTCTAAATTTATTACTATATTTGTTTTGTTTTGTTTTGTTGGTTGTATGTTTAATAGAGTTATATTACTATTTTTCACTCCTTGTTTATTTAAATCCTGTGAATTATTATTTCAGTAAAATCACACTTGGAATATTGCATCCAGTTTTGGATGCCACAATATAAACAAGATGTTGAGACTCTAGAAAGTGCAGAAAAGAGCAATAAAGATGATTAGAGGGCTGGAGGCTAAAATATATGAACAATGCTACAGGAATTGGATATGTCTAGTCTAATGAAAGGAAGGACTTGAGGTGATGTGATAGCAGTACTCCGATATTTGAGGGGTTGCCATTAAGAAGAGGGATTAACCTATTCCCCAAGGCACCTGAAGGCAAGACACAAAGCAATGGATGAAAACTAACCAAGGAGAGAACCAAACTAGAAATAAGGAGAAATTTCCAGTCAGTAAGAACATTTAATTAGTAGAATGGCTCGCCTCAAGAAGTTATGGATACTCCATTACTGGAGATTTTAAAGAAGAGATTGGATAGCCATTTGTCCAGAATGGTATAGGATCTCCTGCTTGAGCAGAGGAGGTTGGACTAGAAGACCTCTAAGTTCCCTTCCAACTCTGTTATTCTGTTAAGTGTATGTAACTAGCATGATCCCTGACTTCAGTAGATTGTGAAGTAAATAATACTAAGGCTACAATATTTCCATTTATTCTTAAAATACATGATTCCTCTGATAAAAGCTGAGAGATTGAGCTTCATGGCCCTTACAGAAAAAGGTTCACTCACTTTGCTTTAGTACTTAGTTCTGTGGTGGCGAACCTATGGCATGCGTGCCACAGGTGGCACTCAGTCCGTCGCCCCAGTCCTAGGCCTTCAGCTGGGTTTTATAAAACCTTTTCGCTTTAGGCCTCCGCCGCCGTGTGCAAAAAAAAAATTGATTGCTTCAATCAAGCAATCAATTGCAACTTCTCGTGGGAAAAAAAAGATCTCGCAAAGTTGGAATTGATTGATTGAACTTTTTAGTCCCACCCAACCTGCTGTTACCACCGCAGCCACGCCCACCCAATGGGCCACGCTCAGCCAATGGGCCACACCCAGCCAATGGGCCATGCCCACCCGGCACCCGACGATACATAAGTAGGTTTTGGGTTGCAGTTTGGGCACTCGGTCTCTAAAAGG